CTTACCTAGGAACATTACAAGTAACACTGAAAATACTGATAAATGTTAAATTTAGTTACCATTTCATGTTTCCCTAAACAGTAGGTTAATGTTAGAAATGACCTCCAAAGGTACATTTTCAAACAACTTCTACTGCCGTTACAATCGTATGTATAAGAATGATCACAAGAAATACGTTTCTGTTTTTAAATTTGAGCGATTTTGCATAAATCTGGAATCACCAGGCGTGAGATTATCCTTTGTCGACCCCTCCGTGAGCGATCACCAGCTCTTAATCAATTTGACTTATGGAAATGATGCTTCAAAATGCCAACACAGATAAGAACCATGCAAGGTGGTATCGATTTGCATGTCTGCACTGTAGGCTCACTGGGCATGTCTCCGGGGTTGCTTTGTGCGCCCAGGCTATGGGATTGTAGGCAGACACACCCAGCGCTGTCTGCACATGGCCTGCTGTGTGCATGAGAAATCCAGGGTGGAACTGTGTGTAACCTAGGCAGTTCTTCACCCTTCTGCGCAACGGCCATCCCTGACACTATCTGCGTCTCTCAAACACCTTTCTGCTGGGAACTAAGGCGTTGGAAATACACGTCTTCTAGACCAAAACCGAGTAGCAGAGACGAGCAAGGTGGAAAAGAGTGCTAAATTGAAATCTAGGCACATGAAACATACTACCAACTACTGAAAACTATTACAGACACTTTAAATTAAGAATGATTCATGACAAAGTTGCATACCGAGGAAAATCTTGAAAGTGCCAAAGAAGTTAATACAGGTGAAAAAAAAAAAACTGTTTCAACCATTACTGGTAGTGAAATAAGTACTGCCAGCACTGTAAATGAACTCCACATAGCTTCAACAGCACCCTGCTTAATAAAATCCCTTGCTGTACAAGGGACTGTCTGGAATTTACGAAAAACATGGCAACACATTACATTATTCTTCCAAGCTTCAGATTTCTGTTTTTTTTTTTTTACACTGTATGAACACACAAAACTAAGAAATCACCATGAATTAGACATCCAGGGCTGCTTCCATTTATAGGAAGGCTGAAGTTTGAACAGAACAAGAAATACAACTCAGCTGACCCTAGCAGGGAAGAGGAATTTCCATATGTCAGAAGAGGAAAAAAAAAAGGGACAACTCTTTGTACAAACATTTAAATGTCTGTTTTTGCCTGCATTAAAATAGGCTCTCAGACTCAAAGATTTAGAAGAACAATGCAAGATCCAATCGATTTTAAAATAAAATGTTCAGAAGCGTTTCTTGTAGTCATTAATGTTTTCAGTTAAATACAAACAGTTGAAATTTACGATTACTGTACACTAACTCAGGAACATTGCAAAATGTGGTCAGGTATAGTATTGTGTGTTGATACTTATATTGAGGTGAAGCATATAGCAGACTGCTAATGAGTATAACACACAGTAAGAGGTTATGAAAAAGACTATGTGCCACTTGGTCAATAATTAGCTATAATTAGTGCAATTGGACACCTTCCCTGTGGTGTTTAAAGCTCAGTAGGGTCCCCTATTACATTGTGTCTCAAAACTTTCCATGCCAGAGATTGCCTGACTACCTTTCTATACTGTCATTGAGATTTGAAGGTCCAGGTCAGTTTCACCTGTTTTCACAGTCGAGATCATTCAGGCAACCTTTTAAGTCTAAGACTTATACTACACATAAAAGCTAGACATGAAATGCAAATGCACACACTACTTGTATCTCTGCTGTGATCTTTGGTACAGGTGACGGCCAGAATGTTAACGGCACTCATACAGTACTGGGAGGGTTCCTGGATGTTTATGACAAACAAAATAAAGTGGTTTTGTACAATATTTTCCAACCAGGCAATGGGTTTGATTTAGACTGGCTATTGTCCATGTTGCACGCGAGCAAAAATAATTACTGACAGGTACTTGGATGAAATACAGTTGGACATAACTCACGAATCAACTGTAAATAATAATTTGATAGATTTGGCTAAGCAATGCACTGCATGTTGAATACAAGTCAAATTAATTACTAACATATACCTGAATGAAAACAATAGATGTAAAATCACTACTCTAACCACTATGGTGCACGTTACGCCAAAATTAACCACATGTACCCGATATAAAAATAGGGCAGTGCACAAAGTATTGCTCAGATGTATCTAAAAAGGGTTAATCTATCAAGCAACAGAGGTTGAGTAATATCTGCACCTTAATCACTTTTACTCAGACTTAACCAAAGCTGATTAACAAGATCTTGAAGGCAAAACCTACACCAACAATGTTAAAAATGGGTGCGTTTAAATCTAAAACTTTTCAGCATCAAATACCAGGCAACAACCGGCACGTCTAAAGAGGTATCTTAACAATCACACTGACATTGCACACTGCTGTGTGGTAAGCCAAACATAACATGGTAATTTTCAAAAAAATAAAACCTTAAGACATTTTGCTGGGTGCAGATTCTTGACTTTTTACTCATATTCCATGGCACAGCAAAGCGAATGTAGCAGAAGGTACACTTACTAAGAGGGGTGAGTGGGATGTCAGTTTCAGAATTTAGAGGGAAAGCAACATGTTGAAAAATTGTTCTAACCTTGAAATTAAACTGTGTAAAACCATGACACTCCTTCAACTTTTCATAAGTTATACTGAGCTCCAAAGTGTACTTTATTTTCATAACATCTCAACATGTAACCTCCTAGAAGCAAACACTGTTGTTCAGACTCACACTCAAGCATCTGAGATACATCTGAGTGCTACTATGTGGCACAAAGTGATCAAGAAACCTGGGCAATCTCTGTTTCAGCAGGTCTGCCAGAGTGAATTTCTATGGTAAACATGACCATGCTTTGCTCCCACATGCAAATAAGCAACTGAAAATTGTGCATAGCACCACCACAAATGATACAAAATGCTTCAAAAACCCAAATCATTAAAAAAGACACATTCCTTTAAAGGATCACACAGTATTTAACAACGTCCAAAACTCTCCCAATCTTTCATCCCGTTTTTCTAAGACTACAAATGTTGTGTACTGATCAATTTTTCTGCTCAGCTTTCACAACCTTGTGATTTGTTAACCAAGGCTATCCCATTCAACAGGTAATTCTGCATTATGATCTGCACTGCATTCTCAAGACTGTTGTCTAACATCTCCAGCCACTTTCACAAACCCACGTCGTCCTCCGGCAATAGCTGTTAAATACCTAACTCAAAGATCGTCTTGAGCAAATGGAAATGAAGTTTAGAACAAAAATAAAAGGCACGACATGTTTAGCATTGCAGACTAGATAACATCCAACCGATAACTTCTCAAGCTCACTGATGATAACCCTGTGTCGGATGATTCTTGTGAAATGCAGAACTAGAGTTCTTTAGGATTAAATGCTTTTCGGAACAAACAATATACTTTTACCATGCAGAATTTCTCTCCCCAATGGGAGACAAACATTTCTCCCAGTTTCAATCAGGTTTCCACCAGAGCACAAATGTGCAAGAGCAGTTCTGGGTAACATTGCATTGAGACAGGTGCAAGGCTGAGTCACACCAATAGCACTGCACAATTTAAAAGGGGTTTATAAATACTGCAGCACTGATGCAGGGCCCAAAGGAAATCAGTCTTATCAGGTGGAAAGTTAAAGACCAGATGATAAAACACTATTGCGTGACAAAATAAAAATAAGAACTGTTAATTATAACGATTTGCATTAACAGAACAAGCCAGGAAAAAAAAAGTTGAAAGGAATACAACTGCCCATATTTTTTAATAAAGATTTGCTCCTTATATGCTGAATATGTATTACAAACCGAAGCAACACATTCCAGCAGACGGAAATAAATGCAAACCAAGTGCTTTATGTCAATAAACACATCATTTACTGATGCTTGATACTAATCATGTTATATGAGGTACTGCAGTGCATCGTGATCAAAAAATAAATTTATAACAGTATCGAACCACCTCGAGTCAGAACCGTATAAGGGAAGAGAAGGGGCAGAAAACTTAATTACTGGGCTGCACATCATGGAGTGAAAAGGTGTTAACCATGATTTAGAAAGTGTTAATAGAATCCTACAACTCAATGAACGATGAGCAGGTCTGACTGCGGTTAGAGCACAAGCACAAAAACGTCTACTGGTAAGCTAAACTAATTGTTAGTCACTTGTGATTAAAATTTGAAGAATGCGTACTTCTGTTTAGTTAAGCGGTGCTTCAATACTTACCACGCTTAACCGCGGTTAGAGGCAGGATTCGCGATTCTGACTGCCGATGCAGAAAACATGCACCACTTTTACTGAAGCAGCACATTCACGGCGCCCGCGTTGCCCACCGTGTGAAACTTTCCGAACGGACCCCGGGACGGCGCGCTCGCCGCGTGATCACGCGTACGGCTCAGACACTGGGGTTACTGCACCCGGAGCACGAAAAACTCCAATACAAACATTATTCATTCTCAAGGCGTACTGTGAGGGGGGAACCTGTCCGTGGAAAATCATTGCGTTTCACAGAACGTTCAAGATGCCATCAGGGCTTGTCTTCATGTGACCACAGCACATAAATCTGAAACTCCAACAAGCCTGAGTAACCACATTGCTAGGCAATGTCTGCTCACAGCAGCCTAAGACTGGGGACGGATTTTTTTTTAGATATAGCTAGTGCTTAAGAAGATACATTAAACAACACAAATCGGAGTCAGAAGATCTTTAAAATAAAACCCAGCAGTTGGAACGGCCTCTCTTACGCGCTGAGGGGGGGGGGATGGTCGCCCACAACAAAGACCAAAACGATTATTTCAACGTGTTGACGCCGCTAAATGAAAAGGGACAAGCGAGACAGGTTTGAAAAGCATGGACACTGGACACGCAGCGCAGTTAAAGGTCAACTAGTTCCGAGAATCTGATCCCTTTTTCTTCACAACTGCAACCAAGACCTGTTCGCGGTTCCCAGCTCCAGACAGAGAAACCTGTGTTTTTTTTTTTAGAAAAGAAAATCTCAATTACCTTGTACACTTTCCCGAAGGCTCCGTCTCCCAGCTCTCCCACGATCTCCCACACTTCCTCCGGATTCACATCCCTGTGGACGTGCTCGTACTGTTTCTTCTTCTTATCCGTCCCAAGTTTAAAAATCTTACGAAAGTTAAAAAACGACATTTTCTTGTGCCCTTCTTCACGGTCCTCTCGCTAGAACGTAAGCCTGCAGCCCGGACTTATTCACTGAAACGGGGTTTTCCGTCCAAATTACTCAACCGAAGCAGTATATTGGCAAATGTATTGAACTAGTAATAATACCATTTTCGTGTTACTTCATCTGAAAAGGCTTTTCTTCAGCGCATCACTTCTGACGATTGATCCCTCCACTTCAAAACGCAATCATCCACAACAATGATAACAGAAATCCCGAATGGAAATTTTCATTTTAATAAAACCCTAGAAGGCAAAAGGACGTCGGGTTTGAACCACGGACGGCGAAATTAAATGCGATCAGAACAGACTCCCCTTCTTCGTTACAGCTCAAACTATCCTTCCCCCACCGTTTCTTAAGTTCCCCAAACGATTAATAAAGCGGTAAGAGATCTGGCGTCTGCGGTCGGCGCTACCCTGGCTCTGGCTGTCAAAGGCAGGCAGGCAGGCGGGCGGGGGAGCGGCTGCTGCCCCTCCGGCTCCCCACAAGGAAACGCTCCGGCCCAAAACCCAACCCGAGAGCCGCTCGCGTGTTTTCGACCCCTCCGGGTTTATGGAAACAAGACCCAGGCTGGGGCAAACAAAAGTTCCCAGGTGACTTTAACTCCGGAGCGGGGATCGCGTTTGTCTCCCAGCTCTCACCGGACGGTGTATGTCAAAATCGCAACCCACAGAATCGGCAGCTCCGCCGCGGTGTTTTCTCTCTCTCTCTCTCCTGAGACAACAAGTTCAGCTCCGCTGGTCGCTCGGGCTCGACGGAGAGGCGCGCTCTCGGGCTCGCGCAGCCGTGCTGGGGAACAAAACGCGACGCCACAGCTCCACGCCTCCCGGCCCACGGCTTTCCTCTTTTCCAGAGGAGGGGTGTCTGTCTTTGTACCTTCTTTCCCCACCAGCTAATGGAGAAGCCTGTGCATCACCCAGGCCCTCTACCACCGTGTAACAATCTCAAAACGTACAGCTCCCCGTCTGAATTGTGAGACAAAAGCCATGGACATTCATTTATATATAAAAAAGTTTAAATCTGATCAACCAGGCGGGGAGGCGCGGCCGCACAGTCCTCAGCTTCCCCTATCCTCCTCCTCTTATTAAGACCACACGTTACTCGGGAACGCGCACGGCAACCTTGTTAACCATTTGCTGCTCCTTGTCTTGAATGACTTGATCCGAGTTGTTCAGTCATTTAAACAGTCATTTTGGTTGGTATTTTAATTATTGTCATCTAGTTTCTAAAGCAACATTAACATTATTTTTCGAATCAGTTAATCTTTTTTTTTTAAAAAAGGGAATGAAACTTCAAATATTTCTTTATACAACACAGTACAATATACAAGTAATAGGTTTATTCCATGATGAAAAAAAAGAAAGAGAACACAGTGTTCTCTTTCTTCTTTTATTCAGCATGGAATAAACCTATTACTTGTTCCTTTGCAGCCTACGCATGCTGACGCAGCTACCCACCTGAACTACATAGTACAATATACCTTGCTAGAAACTTAGCAAGTGCTGTACTCCTGTTTCTATCGTGTAAAATAAATGTATGTCAAATTGATGAATGGATAAACAAATACCTTTCCCCTGTTCTTTCAAATGTAGGGACAACATGCAAAGGAATGCAAATTTGTAGTTCATATATCTACACACATTCTGTATGTATATCTTGCAACACACTTAAAGCATGATTAACCCTTCAGCGTTTAACTACAATGTTTATGCATTATTTTTTCTAATATGAACAAAAAGTAAAATAAAACAGGCTACAGCAAAATACAACAGGAAGATTAGGTTGAGGGCTTGTCAACCCAGGGAATGACGTCGGTTGGCCACTCTCCGTTTGCGCATGCCTGTTGAGTGAAACTAAAGCAACACTGAGAAGTGATGTCTTGGATTTCACAGTGTACAATAAAAGGTAGATTTATCATTCTTTGGAATACTCGTTAACTCCGAAAGCAAGAGTTGATGGTTAGTTACGTAGTTTTATATGTAAGGTATTTCTAGACATCTGAGTGCAATAAAGATTGCACCGATTATTTTTTGTTGTTTTTAATACAGTCGTCTTGGCGACAGATTTTGGTTCTCTTCAACGTTTGAAATTGAACGCCTGTCAGTATTTTTAGTTTTAAGAATAAGCACCTGCTTTTTGTATTAACTTGGGGTACATAGTTAACCCCTGTATGTCAGTCATTTTTAATTCATGTACTTATTTACAAGTCGTTTGTGCGCGTTTAAGAACGTTAAACACATTTGGAGCACATGCAATCTATGACGCTGGTGAAATAACATTGCATAAGCCTTGCAGACCGGTTAGATTAAAGTGCGTGGATTTTTTCGTCTTTATGACAGTTATTTTTCAAGCAACATCTTTAGGTTTCAACTGTATTTTACCAAGGCCTGACAATAGGAACACTGCATTGCCAGGATTGTGTAAGAATCTTCCTTCCAGACTGCTGCCTGCGTACTAAACTGGTGTGTGTAGTGCAGGTTATTATAGCATTATACTCTCAAGAAGTCACGCTGCTCTGAAATTGTAAGGCAGTTCCTTTCCCTAAAGGAGAGTTTTCCCATTTCACAATCTGTATTATATATATTTCACTTGCTGCTTGTTGGGGTGCAAGGTTCCCAGCTGTATAGTGTACTTTGTTGACAAGAATTCCCTGTTCTGTTCTTTTTTTAATCCCATCTTTGTTTAATTCTGGCTTTAGGACTCATTATTAACAACCATTTTTACCGAGTGTTTTCTGTGAATTAAATATATGTTTGAATTATGTGGCTTAAAAGTGTTTCTTTATACAAAGCAGGCCGAATACATTGTAAAAATGCATTGTGGCATGAAGTTTGGTTGGTTTCAAGTAAAGAAAGTGAAACCAAAAGCGGTCGAGTCCCTTATAAGGATCACACTGTGTCTTTAGCTACAAGACTTGTGTAAGAATATAAGCATCTGTATTTCTAAGGAGCTCTTCTGAATGGAATGAATTGGGGATGTGGGACCTTTGTAGCCATTGTCTGTTTTTGTCCTAATGTTTGCGATTTGCCTGTTATTTTTTGGTAGGTACCAGGATGTTTAGGATGTTTTGTTTCTGTTCCTAATAAACCAATGTTGTTTGCTCAGTATTATCTGGTTTCTTACCATGGGTAGTCCATTAATGGATTTTTGTTTTCTGTATTTCTTTCAAAGACAAGAGAATAGAAGACGATTGAAAAAAAAACCTTACATATTCCAAGAATTATTACAAATATTACACAGCCCATAAATAAACATATCCTTTACCTAATCAAAAGCTTTTACCTGTAGAAGTTTAGTTTTGTGTTCTGTGTTTTTGCAGCGTGAATCTGAAGGGCCATCTGATGCAGAGAGAGAAAGGAAGCTCTGAGGAGGAGCCCCCTTCTCTCCTCTGGGGTCTAGATCCCATCTTCTCTACGTTTGCCAGACTGTACATTAAAGACATTTTGCAAATGAAGGAGTCCTGTCAGGTCCCAGGTACTGTATTTCTTTTTGACTTGCAGTACTGTTCATAATGATAGTGAAATGGGGTCTCCAGCAGTCAGCTTGATTAGCACTTTAAATTAACATTGCTGAATCAGGGGGGCTTTAATATATAGGTAAGAACTTTGCTTCATCCAGCAGGACTTACAAATTTAAATTTCACGTACTTGCTTTCCTAGTTAATAGAATGTATTTGCTTTCGGATTTCCCTGTTTCCACCAAAACATGTGAGCATGAGGGAAAATAAGGACAAATCTCCAGGCACTTTGAATTTCTGAGATGGGAATCTAAATACTCTATAGTTCAAGGAGCTCCACTCCTTCTCTGCGGTGCTCCATAATTGTTGGCAAGCTTATACATGGCACTGCAGTCCATCATACTTAAATATAGCTTTTGGAGCATTTTCATAAACAGAACTAAGAATTTGCAGTGTTTGTCACAAACGTGTCCTTTCTTCAAGAAACCAAAGAAAATATAGGAACAGTTCAGATGTATTCTGCATTATTTAAACACCCTTGCTAAACATTTCTCATATCTATTCTCCCTATCTATTTCTGTCTTTCCTGATAAAAATGATAAATATGGATACAGTTGTTCAGCAATTATTGTTAAGCTAAGTCTATTTTTGTTGTAGCTGTGATAAAGCGTTTCAGAAGGAAACCTCTACAGAACATCAATAATTTATTATTGATGTTAGTTCGCTACTAACTAGTAGTTACTGATGAGTGTGTTTTGCTTTGTGGATCTTTTGCTAAAAGCAGAAATTCCCTGATTTAAAAAGGAAAGTGCCTTTTTATCTATAAATTAAGGTTTTGACATTTTGTATGCAGTGATTTTAGTTTTCATTACATTGCAATCTTTAATCTTAAGAATCAATTCTGGTTTAAAATGTATTTTTAACAATACATTTATGAACAATAAGGCAAGGTAAGACACAGACATTTTATTGTAGGCAGACAGATGATACTGTCACTACAGTACTGTTTTAAATTTAGTTTTTATGACAAAATCAATCTCTGTCAAGCTTGATTCAAATTGAGGCTTTTTATTTAAAAGTCAATTTGTCTTTTTGGACTTCACAGGTATATTTTTCTACTGCTCACACCCAATTTGCAAAGTGGATGTTTTAGGAACTGTGGTGTATAAAAGAGAGCGAGAGGACTTCTTCTGCTATGGAGGTAAGGAACAATAGGCTTTTTGTCCCAGGCTAAGAAATGGCATGGTACTGTAAAAAAATATAGCATGGTACTGTAGTCATCTTAGGACTCCTTTAATAATACTGATGCAGCAGAAGTCAAATTAATTCAGTATGTTTTTTTTTTCCTTTTACTGTAGCTCTGAATTTCTGTGTAATTACAGTATAGGCCAGTGGTTCCCAACCATGGTCCTGGAGGAACAGTGTGTCTTCTGGTTTTTACTCCAGCCAAGCTCTTAATCACAGAATTATTCAATGGGACAATGTCTGTACACTTGCTTTTGCTCTTAAAAGGTCATATGGGATTTGTAATTGGTATCAACTCTCTGTCAGTTACAGTTTCAGAACTACCTTTATTTGTGTGTGTTACCTGCAATGTAACTAACTAGACCTCTGCAGAAGGCTCAGGTGTCATTCCTACCTGTGTCTGAAATAACAGCAAGCACGTTGAAGAGAGGTTAAAAGTTGTGAAGTTGTTGAAAATGGTACACTTGAAGGAGAGTATTTGTGACTAAAGAAAAAGTTTAATAAAAATCTAAAGAGGTTAAGAACTGAGCTGGAATGGTTGGGGATTACTAGTATAGGTAAGACCTTCCTGTATCAAAACCAAATGAATGAACATGCTCCCCAGATGATGTATTTGACAGCTGTAATTTTTTATCCAGGAGTAAGAGGCTCTAGGTAAAAAGGTTTGTCTGAAGCACTGAGTGCGTGTTCTGTGTAATTTTCTGTAAAGTGATGAGTCAGCAGGCCAAAACATGAAAGCAGAAATCAAAGTTTTAATCGCTAGTCTCCTATCTTTACTTCTGATGAAATTCTGTAAACCTTTTTCAGTCCAGGTCTGGAGAGGGACCTGTGTGATTTGGTAAGAAACAAGTGGTAATAACAATAAGTGATTGAGAACAAAACGGTTCTTTAATTTCCACATCTTGAAGAGCTAGCACAGCTGTTCCAAGTTACCTTAGCCTTCATATCAATAAACTTTTGGTTAGTTATTTTTAAGAACAACGTTTTCCTATTATTAACCTAATTTATTGACAAGTTGACACACCATGTGTGCCGCAGTGAGGTGCCAGATTGAAAACAGTGTGAAGAATAACAGGATGATTGACAATTATTGCGTAATTCCCAAGTATGGGTCTATCCTGACTTTAGAGTTCAGTCTAAGTGTGCGAAAGGGAGGCTGACTTTGGTCTTTGTCCTGAATTGTAGTGGATGATGGCACAGGGGTCATTAACTGTCTCTGCTGGAAGGATGAGCAATGGAAAGAGGATTCTGAAGCTCTTAAATGTAAGTTTTTGTCCAGTTTCATTAACTTCATATTTCATATTCTGTGGTATGGAACATTCATATCAGGTATACTATCCTAAGCAGAAATACAAATTAAACCAGTAATGTGCTTGTTTGTTTTCAGAAAATACCAGCCTTACATTATATCAGAAATATATGAGTTTTAGCATATGCAAGTTTTTTTTTACAATTTATCTTTCCACATTTTCACAGACTTAAGTACATAACAATACAATTCAGGATGGCTTAAAATTATGTTAAATTAAAATTATCCCCTCCTTGGTAGATAATTACCAGCCTAATTATATTCATAATATTTATTATTATTTGAAAGACTGCAAGTGGTCCATTAATAGTTTTCCCCTAAAGTCTGTGTCGAAGATCACTCATCTGTTACTAAGAGAAATTTAAACCTAGCAATAAGTATCTTAGACTTGCATATTTATTATCTTGTGGTGAATTATGGTCCACTATCCTCATTCTAGATTAGAAAGGGTATTATAGCTACATGTCTGGTCTGAAAGAAGAGCAGACTACGTGCTGTAAGTGGTAACTATATTCTGTTAGCTCAGATAATAGACTGGAGTGTATATGAGGAGGTATTAGTAGTCAGATTGCTTTAATTTTTAATTGAAACGTGTGTTTCGAAGAGTAAAAAGAACCTGGGGGAAGTTCTTGCCAAAATACTGTAAAATAAAATTCAGCTTCATACTATACACAGCACCTCTTGTCTAGCTGGATAACCTAGAAATGTTCATTTTGTTGTTTTTTTTTTCTTTTTCCCCCACTTTGTTTATTTTCTGTGCAGTAGTAAATCAGCTACTGGACAATAGGCCTGGCTGAGTTTTGTGGTTGAGGCTTTAAAGAAAAAGCCTTTTTAGAAACTAAAATTAACCTTTTAATTATATGAAATGTTCTGAGAATTAAAGGAGCTAAGTAAATTAAATCTGAAGTCAACTGATCATGTTTGCAGGTTTAAATCTGTTATGTTAGCACTAGAAATCCTATATCCTGTGTTTCCATTAATGTTTCAGGATGAGGTGAATTGATAGGAGATGTAACCTTTCTCTGAGAATAAACTGCCAACTTGGTAGCGGAGTATAAAAAGTTTTAATGAGCCATGCTTTGTAAGTGACCAGTGTCTATGTGTTGTTTTGTGTGACCCATGTGTGATTCTGTACCACCTCCTCAATGTGACTATGACACAGTAACTAACAAATGAAAACAAAAGTGAAACAAGCAATTGCCAAGAAAGTGAAACAGTGACTGTTTCATTTTGAATTTGTTAGTTACTGTGTTACTGTGTTTATGAATTATATTTAATGGTGTTCTGGGACTGCCATGAAAATAAAACATTGATTCTTGTATGTACTGTATTTCTGTGGCCTCAACTTCGGGAGCCCCTCATACATAAGCAACAGATGTACACATGACAGGGCTCTTAAACCTGCTGCCATGCACTGAGAATCAGGGGTCCTGAGGAATTTTGTGTTCTCTGGTTTGCCTCCAGCAGTAGCCAAGCCACAAGGTCCCACACTGAGCGGGTTTAACCTGGCAGAACAGTTCCAGAAACTGCAGCTGGCCCAGCGGAGAAGCTCCTATCTGGAGATTGGAGACCTTCTGAGGGTCAGAGGCCCTGTCAAGACTTCCAGACAGCAGAGGGAAATCAGCGCCTCCGCCTACTGTAAGAGAAAATTGTACCTTGACATTTTAGGTACATTGCAGGTTTTCTCTTCTGTCAGTTTCTTTATGTATTACATTTGTATGTGTTTCAAATGCATTGCCCAGTGATTACAGGTACTCTTGCTCTTTGCAGTGTGTTACTGTATATTGTAGGTAGAACACAGATGTCACACAGTAGCTTGCACATAGGCTTTCTGTTATTTTTACTGCATTTCAAACTAAGAGCTTTTGCTTCCAATGACACTTTCAGTGTTTTATTTTATTTCACAGATTCTTTAATTCTATCAAATGTACATGAGTATTGGGGATTTTTTTTCCATTGGTAAAAGTACATTTTCAGAAACATCTTAGAAGGCAACAGGGTAAAAATATTTTGCTTAATAACTGGTAAGAGAAAATAGTTATTTAAATCATCTGAACAGTTGATCAAAAGCATGTCACACTTCAGTCATGTACCACGTATTGTTTCTAATGCAGATTTCATACTCCCACCCTTATCTTCAAACACTCAGCTCAAAGGTAAATTATTTCTTCACACAACCTTATAGTTTAAACTGTGTAGAGAAACACAGATGATGAAACAGAGAAATTCAGGGAATACTCTTCTAACATGAAGTTTCATTTTGGAACATTTGCTGGTATTTACCACCGGCATGAAAGAGTGAAGCACATTTTCCACTGGATCAGCAAAAGTCATTATAATAGTGACTTGGGAAGAAACACAGCCTCTACATTATGTGAGGGACACAACTACACAACTTAAGATTTGCAGAAAAATAAGGCCATTTGATTTGTATTTAATTTGCTGAATTTCTTATATACAGTATCCATAATAGATTTAACACCTACTAATGCGGAATCAGTGATTTTTCTGTTTTTGTATTATTTTTTTACTGGTATCTGATCAAGGTTGAACTTTTTTTCTTGTGATTTTTCATTGTGTGGTTAAGAGTTCAGCTTATGCTAGAAGCACCAAATAGTAGTGACCAGTAGTCGCTGTATGTTCTTGAATGTAAAGCTTTCTGGGATAGGTGTGATTATTGTTATAAGAGGGACTTCTTCTCATTGTATGCCAACTGTTTCTGTTCAGACACTTACAAGACAGTGTAGAGCACCTGTTTAGCTTTGCTTATTCTTTGACAGATGCTGTACACTTCTGTTCTGCTTTGCAGTGTGAAAAAAGTGTCTTCCTTGAGTAATACAGAAATGTAGTGATCAGACAAGTTGAAGAATAATACATTTTTTCGCTGTCTTGTAACTTGAAAGATATTAGAGTAATTTAAACATTGGTTCTCCAGATAAAGTGGAAGACCCAGTGCTGGCAGTGCAGATCTCTCGGATGATGGAAGTTCCCCAGCTCTATCGGAGGTTCTATGACAAACCCTTTCAAGTTCCACACGGTCTGCAGGAGAGATCAAGTGACTGTGAGTAAGTAGCAATGTGTCTGTGTCATATATCCTCTTTAAGAAAATCAACAACAAACAACAAAATTACATTTTTATGTGCTTTACTAATGTTGTTCTAGGGACATTGGGTCTAAGAATATCATGCCTTTACTTTGGCCTCCACTGATAAAACAAGGAACAAGGTTATTTTATTTAAATAATAAACATATATCAACTATCAGTTTTCTAACCCTTGAACATGCAGTGCATTGGGCACATAAAGCAAGACACATATCCACATGTATTTTATACATCTTAAGATCAATGGGATATCCCATCTCTAGACTCTCGAATACTCCAATGTTGCCATTGTAATAGAAGCAAATGCTGTCATGGCTTCCATCTTTAGTGACCCAGTTAATAAGGGTTGAAAAGAACAACAAGAGTATTAGAATGTATACAGTTGGGCTTCCAGTTGGCTTAATGAAGACATTTGTTCAGAAGTTAGGCTCAGAATCCTGATATGCACATATCAATAGTTTGAGTCTGATTTATGTCACATTTTCCTTAATTTGATGTTATCTCTGATCTCAACTGTGGGGATTTTTTTTCAACAGTATATATTTTTGCACATGTATTCTTGTGGCATGCTCGTTGTCTTCCTTGCCAGCAACCATTTGCAGATTTGAGGAGAAAATAAAGAGGGTGAATGTGAAACATGTACTTTGTCAAATGTAACACATAATTGGTGTCCCATGTGGATGTACTTCATAGGTTGCTGTTCTGACTGGATTGGGTTGCTATTGTTACTTGATGTTTCTCTGCAGTTTGGAGGGGGTCACGTCACTTCCCAGCCTGCTTGGACAGGTGTGCTTAAGCCTGAAAGACTTCCTGAGAAAGGAAGCTGTCCAGAGCTTCCACCCCAATGACCTGGAGACAGTGAATTCACTCGTGTCACTAGCTAGCCATGATCTTCAGAATGGCCCAGATCAGCAGGTGAGCAGCTGGAGCTACTTGTTTTCTTAAACGGTGATAGTTAGCAGGGGTTTGTGGGAAATCTACCTATTACAGTATCTCTGTTTCAAAGTAGTCTTTTACTAGTATGTCCTTGAATTGTTGTTGTGAAAACAGCTTGGAATAAGAGTGAATAACATGTAAGGTCCTACTTTAAAAATGGGTTCTACATCAAATTGTAATTACTCGTGCTGTTTTATAAAAAGCAATTTAATGCAAATGGAAGTTAAAGTTCTGTAAGCCACTGTTCATTTGTTTTATGTTCCAGAGGTTGCACAGTATACACATAAGTCATTCTACATTTATTTCACAGCTTATGTGGTGATTTTGTGCCTTCAGAAACTAAAATGTAACAAACTCTTATGCTTGTTGGAAATGCTTTGTGAATATAGACTAAAATGTTTAAATATATTCACTGTACTGTGTTCTTTCATATTTGGAAAAAAATGCACCCTATTATGGGTCATGGGTAAGCAGGTTTTAATCCTCAAGAGTATAACAAGATTGGCCGTACATTCTTCAGCAAGAGAACTAATGGCAAAAGTCTTTGTGACCTTTTCATCTTTGGCTGTTTGAAATCTGAATGGTAGCTCGGGAACAGCGGTGGAGTAGTTCTCAGGTTAAGTCATAGGCCTTTTTTTCTTACAGATACAGTATTAGTGTGGATAGAGCAACAGGGCAGGCATTGTTCTGGGTGTTATGTTTGGTTTAAAGCTATTTCCAGTCGCCCTTTGGAGAGAAATCCTACGTGAGCTTGTAGCTGAGGGGACTAACCTCTGCTGACCTGCTGGGACTCTCATAACACTATCGTTTCTCCAGTGCTGCAGTTCTCAAAGCTTTCAGCCTACTACCACCTACAGGGTTCACTGCTCTTGGCTGTCACATCTGCTAACTATTAGAGATATTCTTCGAATAAGCAGGACCAAGTACTAAAACACCGGAAACAGCATAGAAACTTGTGCCTAATTAAAATCAGGCCTTTTATGCTGTAAGGCAAAAAGAAAAGCTGTTGGCAAACAAACAGAAAAACAAAAGAGAGGCTTGGGGAGTATAAGATGAAACATCTTTCCCTTGAGTTAAATGTTGAAGTCTGTGATATTTGATTGAATTTTCATAGAAAAAAAAGATTTGATTAATCCAAATTCTTGCTTATGGCTGTAGGAATTTCATGTTTCTGCAGATCTGCTCTATAAAGATTAGTTGTGTTAATTAATAAAACTACGGTCTGTGAGTTTTGATTACCATTTTAATTGCCCTGTAAGCTTTTTGAGTAAGAATTGTTTCCATGTGTTTTTTTGTTTTATTATTATTGTGTTTTATTTTTTCACTAACTTAGGGATTTAACTTTAACATAGGGGTCAGTCACAAACACCTTCAGAATTCCAGTTTTAATGCCTGTAAAGGATGAATGTGCAATGTCTTGGACGAACTGATACATTATTTACCTTGTGAAGCTCACCTTTTACCAGTGTCTTTTCTGAACATTGGTTCAGAAAGGTGAAAAGAAATTGGCTTGGTATCTGTCATTTCTTGTTATTTGTTATGTTTCTTGGATTTAGCAAGCTGCCAGATCCTTGTCAACCTCAAAACAAATACACAGTGTGTTCAGAGAGGCCATTCAAGTTCTGCAGGAAGAAGGGCTGTTGTTCCGGAAAGCTGGTTCTCAAGAGGAGGTCTACCAGGTGAGCACTTCTGTGTTCTCTGTACAAGGTATTTCCACTGTCCCAGGGTGTAAGAATTCCTTGGTCTGCAGATATTATCACTGAATATGGGCAGGGCAAAAAGGCCTTCACAGGATTAAAGCAATCTCATTGGCAAGTTATGGATTTCTGAGACTACTACTTTAAATTTCACCTTCTAAATTTAGAGCCTAGATGTTTTTTTTTTGCTGTTCTTTTTCTGCTAGTGTGAATTTTTGTGTTTCCATATTTTTTACTAATTTTTAAAATAAATTTTAAATTGGCTTTAGTTATGATGACAGGTGCTATATTAATGAATGCCAACTCACATTTTACACTGGCCAAGTTTAAGAAGTGTTGCAAATGACGTTCATGTTGTATGATAAAGATTGTTATCCATAAAATGGAACTCTTTTACTTGTTGTATAAATCCTCAGTTATAGGTATTGATATAAAGTAAAAGAATAGGTTTGCCATATACTGTAGTACATTTTATCTTTATAATAGATGCTGTAATCAGTGTGTTTTTAATTTGCCAATAGGTAACTGAGCAGGATAAGGAGCTACACAGGGTGACCAAAGAAATTATCTGTGAGGACTCTAGGCGAGAGAAATGTGAGTCTTTTGAGAAAAGTCGTAACATTTTAGAACATTAAAGATTTGGAAGTAGTGAACAATTATATCTATCATTGCTAATTACTATTGCTAATAGTTTTCTGGTTGAGTAATGACATTCACCTTTGCTGCAAAGTTTCCCATGATTACATGCCAGTGTACCGGTCTCTGTGAGGATTGCTTTATCTATGGCATACATACTATAAAATCAGAGGTGAATGTTGTACTTTCTAGTCAGACCACGAGATGGCACAGTTATGCTTGTCTTTATAGTAATTCTGGAAGAAAACGTGCTCGGTGTACTGTTATAAACAAAAACAACAAAGGGTTTTAGCACGTACAGAAGAATTCAAAATAATGTTATAGTTCAGTATTTTTTGTACGCATTTATTTTAATACGCATTAATTCAGAAATATATCCTACATTCATTGAAATAGTATTTCCTTTCTTAATGTGCGTCGAGCACAGGACAGAGAACATGCCCGTAGTTCAGGATGCAAACTTATAAGATCCTAAGTGCTTCACAATTTTTAGGACTTGGAAAAACTTACTGTTGTTTGTTTCCCAGATGCAGAAAAGGGCTGCCATTTCCTGCATATCCTGTCCTGTGTGAGGCAGAGCTATAGCCGCAATATCAGCGAGGCTGCCATGCGCCTGGTCCTGAGCGCACTGGAGTGCAACAGTGATATAATCAGCACCACGGACAGCCACTATACAGCCCTCTGACAGGACGCCACCCCTCATGAATCTGTGTGGGTGATGGTCAGACAGGAGTGTTCTCCGTTACATAGAGGAACCTTTAATGAGCTTTTTTCAAATCTGTATCCTGTTGACAACCATGGCCAAGGTACAAAGAATAAGAGACTGGGAATGGTCCAGTGGAGATGTAAGTCAAACTAGCACAAAGGCAGCAGAGTCTGAAACAGGGCATGTTCCACTTCATGACTCCAGTGATTTATGTCTTGTTTCTGTTTATTGCATCATGCAGTACCACTCCTGAAAGTAAAGACTGTAGGAGATCCATAGGTTGTTAGACAGATTACTGTGACAGAGTTGTCATGCACTTTTAATCTGTTGCTTTTCAAATAATGGCATCACTTGTGCAAAATACAAATAACACATGGAGTATACTTTATTATTGTTAATCGAGGGAAAGCCAAAGCTTGGTCATTCATTTAAGTGAAATCAGTGCATCCAATGCGTTAACAGCGCATGAACTATGTTAAACGTAGTCTGCAACAGGAAGCAGGTTTCTAAGGGTTTGGGACGCTAGATGGCGCTGCTTGACAGCGAATTTTACGTTTGGGCTCTGGAAAAGAGCGTCGATCTTGGTGGATAGATTTTTTTGTTTAATTTTTTGAAGTTTTTAAAATGCTTATTTGTATAAATTATTTTGTATTTTCAAGTTACATTATATTTTATGCTCACATTATGCTGTAATAAAATGTAATCTGGATAAAGCGGTTAGAAAGAGGATAAAATAACTAATATTATGTGATCTTTATCGGTTTTCCATGTATTTTTGTCTTGATGGCATGAAAAAGGAAAAGGTACTTACATATTTTTAATAATAAATTGACAGAAAATGTTTTTAAAACATTTTATATTTCGCGATTATATATTTAAGTTGAAATGGAGAAATAATATTTAATATTTGTAAAATAGTAGTTTTTTAATACTATTTTTTAAAATAGCTAAATTGATCACCTTACAAAATTAATCCCAAAATGTACCCAGCTCTGATTTGTAAGACTGACCTAAATTTAATTAATTCCCGTTATGTTCTATACAGTCATTTATTAAACATTCCATCCTGAATTTAAATTGTTGTGACTAAGAATTCATCATCTTTCCCTCCAGTACTACATCGATTATACATTTGTGGCATCATTAATTTATTATATGAATTAACGGATTGTGTACAAATGAGGATAATGCAGGAAAATGCAACGACACCAAGTAGTGTCATTTTAGATTTTACTTAAAAGCAAACCTATTCACGTCTTGAGAACCTATATAAAATAAGAAGCTGTCCTGTCAAATGGTACTTCGCAATGTGTAGACCCAAGGGGTTTTATATCTACGGAGAGATATCTTGAAGTAAGATTTCAAAAAGGTCGTATTTTACCCTTAAAAGTAGAGTTGCAGATCAACAAAACGATTTGAGACAGGATAGGCCTTACATTGCTGAACCGAAACAAAATGACGTCGTTGGTTTTTCTTATTGTCAACCAAATCTTTCAATAATCAGACGGTCGAGACATCTGCTCCTCTTTACAGACGTCTTGCAAAGAGTCCGTGCAAATTAGCATCGTGTGAATTAACCGCGGACAACAACCACATGTTCAATATGGGAAACAGAGCAAACATGAGCAATAAAAGTAAGAAATAATGGAAATGCAAAATATTTCTTACAGTGTCAATATTTTTGTAAAACTGTTTTACTTTTAATAGTACTTAGTGATAGTTAAGTTAACGATAATTAGCAAGCAGTTGTTGTTCCAATTCTAAGTTTTCGTTTATCGGCGAGGTGAGAAATCTGCCTGGCTGAAGTTGTCCGGTGGAATCGGTGCCAGTTGGCAAACCGAGCTACAAAAGGGAGAAATTACTCATGAGTCCGTTCGAAAAATAAAGCACAAAACTACAGCTGTTGTAGGTGTTTAACGAGTTTTTTTATTATTATTTGGATAATTTAATCTTAATGATTCCCGTGTTCGTATTCTGGCGGTCTTCAGAAATCCCTCCCTTCTCAAACCGAGTTTGTTTCAGACCCAACCCTTTTCTTGCGCTACGGTATAAGCCCCCCGCCTCCCTGATTCACAAAGGGACAACCTACTCCCTGTAAAAGAGCCGCCCTTCTTGGGAGGAGGAAAACCCCTCTTTTTGTCGCTGGTTAAGATCTCTGTGCCATTCCTGGTGGAAAACCGTTTGATTGTACCCGCTGGAGCTACACGACGAAGCCCATCCCATTGGCCAAACCGCTTTGTGGTCATTCTGCCTTTCAAAGGCAGTGTGCCCTGCTTTAGTCACTGAAGTCCACTTAACCCGGCTTTTATTTTACTTGTTTGAAAGAAGCATATTTCAGGCTAGCTCACAGGAGCATGCTGTTTTTATCCATAGAAAGAAACTCGATCGTGAAGGTGATGTTCACAGCTGTGTTACGATTGAAGTGACGTACATTTAGAGAATTATTGCAATGCAAGCAAATGGATCGTGAATACTGTTGGAATTAAGCTTTAAATCGATTTAAGTAGATCACGTTTTGATGGCCTCTTAATCAGTTGCATCCGAACACAACATAATTTTCACCTTTTTAAATTTGGCTACTAAATTAAGGGCTTTAACTCGCAGAGGAACTTGCCAAAGACTAACCTTCTCGTGAATCGGATTATTTGAAAAGTAACGTCAACGAGCACTGGGGAATTGGATTATACACTTACAAACGTCTATTGTGGATACCTTGCATTTGCAATCGTTGACATTTATCCAGTGAGCTTGAAGATGCAGTTTCGGACTGTTGTGGATGTCAAAGTTGTGGATGTGGAGAAGAGGCGAAATCCTTCCAAACACTATGTAAGTATAGTCTGCAGGATCTGTCTCGGTGCTAATTAAAGACCTTTGTGCAACATTTTCGTTACTTCTAAGAAAACAAATTAAAGACACGTGTCGCACTTGTACCGAAAACGGAGCTTTGTTTATGTTGGCGTTGTCTTGGCCGTACAGCTCCAAAATAATCCTAACTTGAAAGGAAAGACTCGAAATTAGAAACTGATGGCGTTGCATTTTAGACAGTAACAGTGGAGTTAAGTGCTATTAAAAAACGATTCACTCCACTTTCAAAACAATACCTGTTTTCAAGAAGCATCCCGCCTGCTTCCAATAACAGCATCCTTTTGAAAGATAGTATACGAAAGACGCTCCTCCTTTTTTCAGGTTATAGGTTGAATACTACAGCTTCACACTTCTGTTGGTAACTTGTCACTGCTACAGACCATATCACAATTTATTTTGTTTTTGTCTTTTAACTTTAGTTCTTTAAAAAGCAAAAACAACGTAAAGTGTTTATTTGATTGCTGATTACTAATCCTAGGAACTCTTCAGTACTTCCTTGAGAGATCCCAGATAATCGGCTTCAATGACGTGGCTGCGCCGCTTTGTTCTCAATTCACAAGCCTTTGTGTAAAAAATGCCTCATGATTTCGGTGCTAAAAGCGCTCTTTGTTGGTCTTGTGTCCATTTACCGGTAACCCTCTTAAACCAGCCTGATTTAATATTCGGCAAGGGAGTAGCAACTGGACAGACAAGATGGACAGCCTGGGTTCTTCTCATTTGTCATCTTTTCTGTAGTTTAATATTCCCCTTACTACTACCATCTCAACACCATGTTATAGACCTGACCAACTGAGAGAGTAACATGTTTGCGCTGGTCCGTATTTGCTTATTTTATTTACTATATTGTCAAGTTGTGATATGATGGTTTTATAACAATATTCAAGCATTAACTTTCTTAAACGTTTAGTTGTTTTAGTGCATTCCACCCACAGAACTAAACATTCTAGGTAGTCTTAAAAGCATGTTTTTGCTAATATTGGACTGGAAGAAATGTATATATCCCAAACAAATATGTCAATATGGTCAAAAACCTTGTAAAGCATTCATAATTGATTTTTTGCTCACTGGATAGCAACTTCTACAGTCTGAGTTTTGCTTAATGTCCTTGCAAAGATAATATTTAATATGTTTCAGTGTTTATCATTCTTTTAGCTTAACATTTATTTCTGAAAATGTAGTATATTCAGTTTAGGTTTTAGGAAGGCTTTTCAGGCTTAAAGGATAGAAAAGGAGCTCCCAATCCACTCCTGGAGGACAGCGGTCCTTCAGGTTTTCATTACAACTCAAGTCTTAATCTAATTAAATTAGTGGCTTAATTAGAGCAATTTAGCATTTTTCCCCTGGTCTTCAAGTACTCCTGATTTAAAGAGACCTATAAAACCTGCAGGAATGTAGCCCTCCAGGACTGGTCTGGGAACCTGTGATATAGAAGATAAGAGCATGTTGTTAGGAGGCAATAGGCAATTTATGATTAGAGGCCACTTTGTTGCAATCCCTGCTGTGCAGAATGGCAGCCCTGCAGTAGACAATTCTCATTGGCATCGTGCTGTGGTCCAGATCTGTTGTAGCATGTTGCAAATCACATTATTTTTTGTGTAAATGTACAGCTAACAGACCTGCAGAACCAGAAATATTTGTGGTAGTGATATAACGTATACCAATGATACGTCTGTGTACCACAGATACTTGTACATTTTGCTTTGGTATAATAAAGCCTTTATGCATCAGGCTGAAAATCCAGGCCATTTACAGTGTAGCACTTCAGACACACAGGACTTGTCTACAGTGTTTTAGAAGAAACACACCAAGAAGGCAAAGTTTTTCACTTAAAGAAGAAGATAGAATGCAGTTAAGGTTTCATTGTTTCAGTGTTTTACTATTAAATAGATGGCGCTAAATGTTTTATTACAGAACATAAAGTTCCTTTAAAAGGCAACAAAGAAAGTTAAGATAATTTTACCCCCATTTATATTTCTTTAGGCAGATAATGGTCAAGTCTTCATAAGTCTGGTCACAGTTCAAAGAACCACACACTAGTTTTATGGGGAAATACTGTGCAGTAGACAGACAGGGGAGGTTTGCAATAATATCATTAGGAGGCCTACTAAGTAACACTAGTAATGTAGGTGCAGTCATCTTCCTGGTGGCTTGGCTCAGCAATATAGTAAACATGATGAAGAATGGGGTTCTGTTTCTGTTCAGTGAGTAGTTGTGTGCCATTTAATGGAGAAAAAACCTTTAATCATGCTAAATGTACTTGAAACTCTGGTTTTACTAGTAATTTACCCTGCATGCTGTACTGAGTGACAGTATTTTGTAGGTTGAACAGATCTAGAAACATTTCTCCTGTCTGAGTAAATGGAACATGTTTAGGGAGTGCACTGTCAGAATCAACAGGAAATGTCCCGGAGAGCACTTATTCAATTTATTTATTTCCATTTATGAGTTTTGTCATTCCTGTCAGGTTTGGCACACAAATGATTCATTACTTGTCACGAATCAGAAATCAAGTAATACACCTTATGAGGAAACTGGTTACCTTCTTTGTAAGAAAAAAATGTTAAGCCAGTACAGTAAACAAGAGTGGTAGAGCATGAGTTCAAGGTGAGACGGAAACAATTTGCATCTGTTAGCTGGTGAGGAACAGTATATTGGATTCCTTAACTTTCTCATATACTCTGCAGTGTCTTTCTGTCTAAAAAATAACTTATCATTATATATTTGTATAGCTATGTTGAAAGCTTTGTGATTAATAATTAATATAATAATGACATTGTGCAGGGGGAGATGGATATCTTGAATTAGACTTTTTTTCACAGAATATTTGTGAATTAAAACTTTCATAAGTCTGCATCTATCTCAGATTCAGTATCAAAAGGATGGGATTTATCTGCTGTTTTTGTTCTTTTAGAAGTAATAAAAACAGCTATTTCCTTGATTGAAACTCCATTTTGTTACGAAAAGCACTTCAGGGGATAAAATTAACAGTGCAGTACATTTCTCCTTTACAAGTGGGTTCTTGTGTGTAGCTCCACGTTTACTTTTTCTACATTGAGGCTATGCTGTGACCCACGTAATGTAACATTCTGCTTACTGTAAACCATAAGGCCTTTGAAGGAATCTTTGTGATGTTCACATCACCCCACTCAGACCTCTGTATGATTGCATTACAGTATCATTATAGCTTACTAAGTTTCCTTCTGGTTTTCTGACAGTTAAGAATATCTTAGTGAGCAAAAAAATGAGTCTATAAATGATGCAGTGTATAAAAATGTGAGGCTAGCACAGTGGCTAGCATTGCTGAGTTGCAGCGCTGGGGCCCTGGGTTCAATTCCAAACCCAGGGTTCTGTCCACGTGGAGTGTCTGTATGTTCTCCCTGTGATTGCGTGGGTTTCCTCCAGGTGCTCCAGTTTCCTCCCGCAGTCCAAAAACTTGCTGGTAGTTTGGCTTCTGGGGAAAATGGGTCTTGTGTGAGTGTTTGTGGCTGTACCCACCTGTCTGCCTAGTGATGGACTGGTGTCCTGTCCAGGGTGTAGCCCGGTTTGTTTGGTGGGATATGCCCTGGCGCCACCCTGGTTTGGTGGGTTGCAACCCTGAAGTGGAAGAAGTGGAATAAGAGTGGGTGGATGGGTGGTTAAAAAAGTGAAAAATATTCCATCTCAGAACCATCCATTAACAAAATGTACTTGCCATGTTTAATCTGGGACTGCGGAGGTGAGGAGTTAATATTTTGCCGAAATTCAGCAATAAGTATCCTGTTTTAATTACGTTTATAACTATTTTACTTTTGTCATATCATGTTAATATTTTCTGAAGCATTTATTAAACTGATAAATAAAGAAACATACTTCATGAATCATGCACGCTAGTGATCATTAAGCTGTTTTATTAGGGGAGATTTGAACATGAATCCAAGTTGTCTTGTCTCCAGCAGTCAGTTAGTCCATCTGAGAAATTACAAAATTGAGTAATTATCCTGTAAAGTTCACAACACAGACATGATTTTGTTTAAAAGAATTCATATTTCTTAATCTTTCTGAAGAGCAGATAAGTGTTTAAAATGCAAGTTAAAGTTGCCCATATTACTGCACTGTGCTTTCACACAGCTGTTAGCAACATGTCTTACGGTCCAGGTTATTTTTCCAATACAGTTGGTCATTAATTGCTGATGTCTCGTTTAATTCCTTCTCAGTGGCTCTCTGATCAAGCTCCTGACTCAAGAAGATTTAATCTTGGTTAGTGGGTTCTTGTTTTATACTTTATATCTATTGCTGATATGCTGCAGAAGAATGAGTAAATGGATTAATTTAAAGGGCTGTGTTCCTATAATGTGCCTGCTCCTTCAAATGCAATGTATCAGCCTACCATTTGGAATGGCCAGGTTAGGAAGATCTGTAGCTTCTGTGTTAAATAAAACTGTATTTTTTAAAGGTAATTATCATTAAACACACTGTGGATTCTGTAAAGTTGAGAATTAAAATGAAAAATTCACATATAACAAAATTGTTATCCTCTTTTGTATTTCGGTTGATTTACTACATACGTCTCAGGAATGTGATTTATCATGTTCGATAACCAAAATTATATTTAACAGATATTGACACACTTTCAAGCAAGCAATGTACTAGACTTTTTTTAAATCTAATTGTCCAACAAGCATTTTAAACTATATATACTGTATATGGGCTTTTGTGCCTTCAACAAACAAATTATTTGGGTTGATGTCCTTCATGATTCCTGGCTAAGTGGAAAGAACTGCTGACTTAACTCAGACTACAGAGAGACAGGTCACATTCCCTGACAGCCAGTCTGTTAGCTTCCTTGCTCCATGTTCTAGGCAGGAGTGGGACAACCTCTTACTTTACTGAAACTCAACAGCCTGCAAAATCCATTCTTTTTTCAAACTTATTTGGGGTTTCTATTCCTACAGCTGGAAATGCTTATCCTATGGGAGAGAGAG